TTTCCACGCTGTCATAGAGATTTTGCAAAAGAACCTTTTGAACAGTGTTCCGAGATGGTAAGACGTATCGTGGATCAAGAGAATGCACAAAGTCGCGAAATCCTTGGTCTTCCACAATGCGAATCGTCTGCACGTCTACAGCAATCATTTTCACCGCAGCTGAGTTGGCGGCGGCGTGTGGGTGGTGGTGCGGTTGTGTGTGTTCTGTGGTCTGTAGCAGTTGTGGTGTGGTCTATTGTGTTATGTTGTTGTGCTGTCGTGTTTGTGTGGGACTGCTCAGGTGGACTGGGGTTAGCCGTGGAGGCTGCTCTGTGTGAGCAGCAGGGGGCCACAAAAAAAGTGGTCCACTGCCGATGTGTCCGTAGTCCTGAACAGAATCTGAGGTGACTCCACCCCTCGCAAGCATTGCACTTGACTGAGGTGGAGTTGTGGTGTAGTCGTCTCTGGCATACACAGCAGGTGTAGGTTTCTGGCCCTGGGTTTGACTCGATGCCAGCCCTGAGTAGAAGAAAACGTAGCGAATGTAGCCCTATGGATGAGCAACTTCTGAGATACTTCGCCGACCTAAACGGGGTTACATCGCCGAAACAACAGCCCTTGGTCGGGTAAACCCGAGTCATTCCGGTACGTAGAACCGGCTGTCGTGGTCGTGTCCTCCTACAATCTGCACGGTATGTCAGACCAGCATATTCCGTAATGTGACATCAGTCAAGTGCAACACCTGTCTTGGCTGGTGCCACTTTAGGGCATGCTCAGGTCTGCGCACCACGCGAGATTGGACGAGGAACTTCGAGGGCCCGTGTTGCGCTGCTCGGTCGCAGACCTCAACTGCGACGCCTCCCGCCATCACCACAGGGCGGCAACCACCTCAGCAGCGCACACAGACAACTGCGGCACGACCACACACATCCCTCACTCCCCGCATCACCACACGTCTCCCGAACCACATGAAGCTCCTTCAATTTAACTGTAACGGGCTTCAGAGCAAGATCGAGGAGATAACCGTCTTCATGGGAAAGCATGGCATATTGATAGCAGCGGTCCAAGAGACGAAGTTGCACAGCAATTCCACACTGTTGAATTGTGCCGGGTACAACGTACACCGTCGAGATCGCGAGCGGGATAATGGTGGTGGCTTAGCGTTCATCACGCACCACACCGTGCAGTATCGTCTTATCGAAGCAGACATCGACCGCAGGGATACCACCCTAGAATGGCAGGGCATTGCTATCCGGTCAGGCGATGTTGAGCTCGAAATATTTAACGTTTATATACCCCCTGTCACCTGCTGCAGGATATCACCCTCACATAGGTGCGCTCCTCAGAGGTGAAATCCGTATGGTAGTAGGCGACTTTAATGCGCACCACGATCTTTGGCACTCAAGCCTGTCAAACTATCGTAGGGGAACTGACTTGGCTGAGCAGATAGACGATTCGACATTCTGCACAATTAACGACGCCGCACCCACCAGGATTATGGGCAGCTGCTGCAGCTCGCCAGACATAACAATAGTCAGCGCTGGTCTGATAAGCAGCGTATCATGGCGACCTATGCTGACTCTAGCATCAGACCATCTGCCCATAGTCATCTCGATCGATAAACCAACCGACTTTGCGGAGCACCGAACATACATATATCAACTTTTCTAAAGCTGATTGGAAAGGCTTCGCGGAATTTACTGAAAACACCTTCGCTGCTCTCCCCACACCAACCGACGTCCACCTTGGTAAACGTAAATTTCACAGGGCTGTCACTGCTGCTGCAGCGCGCTTCATCTCAGCAGGATGTATTACGGATCCGCGTCCGAACTTTCCTGCTGGAGCGGCTGTTCTAGCCGATGAGCGTGATAGCCTTCGTCAGGCCGATCCCGGAGATCCCCGTATCAGGGATCTCAACGCGGATATTTGGCAACTAGTAAACGTACATAAGCGGAAGAAGTGGGAAGATCATCTGAGGACCAGTAACTTCACCTCTGGTGTGAGTAAGCTTTGGTCAACCGTGAGGTCACTGTCCAATCCGACGAAGCACGACGACAGAGTCGAGCTATTTCAGTCGGCAGTTCATGCTGCATCCTCCGGTGGACAAAGCCAAGCGTCGAGTGACCAGAAGGCTGCACAAACTGCCAACAACCTGGGCCCCCCTTGCTTTCACTTGCGGTGAAGTTCAGGTGGCCATCGGGAAGGCGAAAGCCTCCAAAGCCATGGGTCCCGACGGAACAGGCATGCTGATGCTGAAAAATTTGGGTCCTGCGGGGGTAGCGTACCTAACGGAGGTCCTCAATTTGTCTATGGCTATGGGGAAACCTGTCAACATAGGAGTTTCTTATCGGCCGATAACACTCCTTTCCCCGGTAGCGAAGACACTCGAGGCCTTGCTGCTCCCGTATTTCACAAACCACTTGACCCCAGCGAAGCATCAGCATGGTTTCCGTAAAGTGCACAGTACAACAACAACACTTAACGCCATAAACACTCAGATAACTCGTGGCCTTGACCGTAAACATCCCTGTGAGAGAACGATTCTAGTAGCGTCGGACCTGTCAAAGGCTTTTGACACGGTCAGAAATTCCACGCTACTAGAAGATATAGAGGCTTCCTCTCTCCCACAGAGGCTCAAACGGTGGTCGGCAAATTATCTGAGTGGTCGCCACTCGTCGGTAATGTTTAGAGACAAATCGAGCAAACTTAGAAAAATAAAACAGGGTGGTGTGCTTTCCCCGCTACTGTTTAACTTTTACATTTCAAAGCTCCCTCAACCACCAGAGGGAGTCTCGATTGTCTCTTACGCCGACGATTGCTCGATCATGGCGACTGGGAATGGAATTGATGACCTGTGTTCGAAAGTAAACGGGTATCTCTCCGAACTTTCTCGCTTCTTCACTGCAAAGTGTCTAGCCCTCTCCCCTACGAAATCCTCTGCGACCCTGTTCACAACCTGGACGAAGGAGGTCAGGCTACCGCTGGGAATTCACGTCGATGACACACCAATTCCGACGGTGAATAATCCCAAAATACTCGGAGTAACATTCGAAAGCCTGCTCTCCTTCTCTGCGCACGCAACCGCTATTGTCAATAAAGTACAGAGCCGCAACAAGGTCCTCAAGTCGCTAGCCGGCAGTAATTGGGGCAAAGACAAAGAAACGTTGCTGGCAACATACAAGGCAATAGGCTGGCCGGTTTTAAACTACGCAGCACCAGTGTGGTCGCCGGGGGCTAGTAGGACGCAGTGGATGAAGCCACAGACAGTACAAAACACAGCACTTAGGACAGCGACCGGAAGCCTCCTGATGCCACCAGAACACCACCTCCACTATGAGGCGAAAATTCTCCCAATTAGGGAGCACAACACGATGCTCTGCAAGCAGTTTCTGGTTGGGAGCCACAGATGTGGCCACCCAAATAGACAGCTGCTTGCAGAGGAACCCTCGCCAAGGCACGTCAGGAGGCATCTATATGAACTGACGGACAAAGTCCAGAGGTTCATTAAGCAGCCTCTGGACCCATCAGCTTACAGACAGGCCCTGAACGGCATTCACAGGGACGCAGTCTCGAGTTATGTAGACTCTAGACCTGTGAATTCCGTTCCAGGCACACGGAGCTCCATCTGCCTCGGGAGACCAGAACAACTATAGCCCAACTTCGCTATGGCTACTGCAGCAGGCTAAACTCCTACCTGAGTAGGCTAAATGCGGATGTGCCGAATGAATGTCCGGCATGCGAAGAGACCCCTCACGACTCGAAACATTTCTTCGCATGCCCGGAAAACCCCACAACCCTAACGGCGTCGTCCCTGTGGACCGACCCCATAGAGGCTGCACGCTTCTTGGGGCTGCCGTTAGTGGAACTCGACGACAACGACTGAGATATCAACCGATCTGGGCGGGGTTGTTTTAGCCGCTACAACAACAACAACAACCAAAGCTGAGTCCAATTCTAATTTACGCTTCGAGTTTCTATCATAAGCGCCACTTTTGTGAAAATACTGCTTCACCGTGGCCATAGTTTTCTTGGGCTCAACAAGGAAAGCGTGAGAGCGCTTTAAGTGATCTAAAAGAATGGACGTGTTTCCTCTCGTTTTGTACGACTTGTGGCATTTCAAACATTTAGCAAGCTTCCTATTTGGACTTAGCTTAAAATGCGTCCAAACTTCTGAGTTTGATTTTCTGGGCCTTTTTATACTTGTAGTTGGCGCTTCTGTGCAACAAAAAATTGAAATAATAGCACAAACAAACATAAATCAAGCGCACATACCTGCAGGGTTAGTTTCATCGGTTTCCATTTCACAACAAAGGTGGAACCGTCATTCAAATAATTTACAATAAGCCTATGTATGAAAACATCACTTCATTTAGAATTTAATATAGTTTCTTGTAAAAAACTACTTACCCACGCTTTGATAATTTCAAACAGCCCAATTCTGAATAGCAACTCCCTAGGAATTTTT